ATATTTCTTAATCATTTCATTCGATTCCACAAAGACAAGTAGTTTTATTACGACGGTCAACACATCAAATATAATAATAATTTGATGTTAACGCATTCCGTATCATAATCAGATATAATAAATAACCATACATTATTAGACGAAAGGTAGACTGTTACGGATAACGGACTTTACACTTTAACCTAATCTAGCTGGAGCTAGTCATTAGCTGGTTATCTCGGATAACAATCTAGTATCTAAACTACGCATCAGTTACCACGGAATAATCGAGTGACCAGTACCCATAATATATTTTATTATTTGTACAAAATCGCATTATATTTATTATTTGTACATAACCTCATCGCTAACAGATTTCGACTTCGAAGTTCACACGTTTTCCATTAGTGAAATAAGAAATTACAAACTTAATAAAAAAATGTTAGTAAATTTACATTTTACTTTATAGTAAATATGATAGCATGCTTATTGTAGTTATGTCATAACTCGTTATTTTATAATTTTTTAAATATATCAATTGATAATATTTGCTCTCGACTTTATTTTGACGTTACATTCTTGGACACACCATTAATTTAATAGGTAAGTGTATTAAAGTTTAATAGATAATATAATATACAATACGAATTCAATTAGCTTTTTTATTTTAGGTTGAATGCTTTTTTCCGAAAATCTTTTATCATTTAAAAATCAATGTTATCATGTCAGAAATATCTATGGCGTTGAGAATAGGCTATACCAATATCTATGGAAATGTCTTTTCAATTGGACCCAAGACTAAAGACCTTACAATTTTATATCAAGGTGTAAATTATAAATATAAAGCATTAATTTTATAGGTAAGTTTATTAGAGTTTAATGGGTAATTTAATACAATACGATTTCAATTAGCTTTTTAAATTTAGGTTGAATGCTTTTTTACTGAAAATATTTCATCTTTTAAAAACCAATGTTATCATGTAAAATTGGTTTTGAGTATGACATATCAATTGCTATGGAAATGTCTTTCCAATCGGACCCAAGACCTTACAATTATATATCAAGGTGTAAATTATAAGTATAAAACATTTATTTCTAATGTGACATTTTTTCATGTGAATGTATAATATCAACACTAAGCAATTTTAATGAAAAGTGTGTTGTGTTAACTTAAAATAATTACTAATGCATGTATTTGTGTATGTGGGTTGATAATACTCATATACCCCTTTCATTTATTTTTAAAAATATCAGTAATTAATGTATGAATTTCATATTACTACATACAAGGAATCACTTCTTGATTATACCAATATTTATAATAATATGATATAATAATATGTAAGTATATTATTTTTATTTGATTAAACTTATCTAAGGTAGTTCAAATGTCTGCTTTTAGTTTAGCTACAATGATATAGTACCCATATATAGTGTGTCTGACATACATTACGGATATTTTATCATAAAGTTTTAGCTATAACTGACACAGGTATTTGGCTATCAAAGTTAAATTTTATATCAAATTTATTAATATACAATAATTCTCTCTTTAAAAAAGTAGTAATTCTATTAATTTGTATTTAATGAATTCAGTAAATCAAGTAAATTATTTTTTTGAACTTGCCTAAGATAATTCTTATAGTTAATTTTATTTATTGAATTTTGATTTTGTTAAATTTGTTTAATTACCAACGATTGTTAAAAGAAAAAAATTTAAATCAGTATCATAGAAGTTGAACAATTTCAAATGTATAGATATGGTTTTTGTTTAATATTTTTGATTGACTATTTTCAAAATAGTAACATTTGTAATTTTTGAATTTATTGTTGTATTAATAATTAGTTTATGAACATTTTATTAGTTAAATACTTATATTATCAGACAAAAGATTATTATTGTTCTTTAAATGTTATACTATACTATATATTTGTCGTTGAAATTTATCAATACAATTGTTTTACTATGTGTTATCAATGTTCAAATTTTGTAAAGTACACAGTAAAAATTAATAAAAATTGTTTTTTAACTCTTTAAAGTAGGAAAATTGTCGCATACGCATTACAGCAAATATTCTTTTAACCATTATTTGCATCATTAAAGGTAAACAAATTTTATTTTTAACAACTATGCATTATAAGTTAGTATAATTGATTTTATAATTATTTGTATTTATACATAAATATAGTATACATGTAGTTATGTGTATAAAATCAGACAAACTTGTCGCGTACAAATTCCATAAAATTTAAATCCTTAAAAATGTGTTTTATTACAGAATAATTGTTAAATTTAGATACTACAATTTAGCTAAGACTATTTTTGATTTAATATTGCCACTTTTACATGATCTTAGTAAAACGTACCCGAAATAATAGTTTAATAATGTCAATACTTTAATTTGTATAGTAAACAAGGAAATATCAAATAATGGTTTTCTTTTTAAACAACTAAAATCTATTAAGCTTTTAATTTTCTAGATATTAAATAGTGAAGAAAATAATAAAAATAAGAAAATACTGATTATACATAAAATCAAAATAAGCAGATTCAACTGTAAAAGAATTAACTTTTTAATTTGAAATTTTTGAAACAGACATATTTTATTATAAAGGCTTTAGAATCACTATTATTATAACATTATACACCTTATAAGTTATAATAATAATTAGTAAGTACTAATAAAAAGATTAGAAACATATAAACTATTTAATTTAATAGTTATTAATAAAATAAAAAAGACAAGTTCTGATAATTTAATGTTTGCGTGACACAAAGCCTAACTTTATTTCTGAAGTTTGAGTATCACTGTGTGATTTTGTGTAATTGAGTCACAAACTATTGATCCATATTTTAATTAATGGGATCTTGATAAAAAAAAACTTGACTTAAAAAAAAATGAAATATCAATGATGTTGAAAAATTTACCGTTACAGAAAAATCAAATCTTTTTGCCAACAGGATGGGGAAAACAGAAAAAAAAGTAAAAGTACTTTGAATCACAGTTTGGAACTACTGACTTAAATTAAGTCGATAATTAATACAATTTCAAACTTAACTGTGATTTTGTTGTAGGTTTTTTTAAACACTGTTTACAAATATCTAGTCTTTAGACAACTTAATCATTTAAACACAGTCCACTTTATTGCATTATTTTTTATTAATAAAGTTGATTATATAAAAAAAAAAGTTATTTATAAATGTAAAATAGGCAACATTTTAAATATTTACTGTAGAATTAAAATAGTAAGCAAATTAAATCCAAAATTCCTTATTTAGTGTAAATTGTTTAAAACAATTATTTGAGCACAAAACATCTTCTGAATAAATTGAACATAATTAAACAAATAATAGTAACGCTTCGCGACGCTTGTCCATTCAATGTATGCACTTTTGAGATTGTAAGCCAAATTTTAAAGCTATTGTTTACTACCTATAAAAACTATACAAATTATAATTTTCATAATAGCATGATAATAATCTGTTGTCCTGTGCTGTTACTTGTTGAATGTAGAACATAGATAGTAGAAAACTATGATAACTAGATTAATGATAATAATATTCTGTATTATCATCATAGCAGCAGTTCTCAACCTACTTGTACCACAGTTTTTGATTGTTGTGGTTAAATAGCCATTCGTTAACCGCTTTCAATATAGGTCTGTCAACCTACCTGTCATGACGGTGTGTTAGAAAAGTCGGTTATCTATAAATATGAATCGCTGGTCAACCAAAATATCACAAAACATTTTATTGTGTTTGATTATCTGTGTACTCATCTATCGGACAACGCGATCATAAATAAGTATTTTATTGGCTCCCGGTCTTTGGAAAACCATAGAAATATAACAATTGTTAAGAGAAAATGTAATATCTTTACAAAGTCATAGCTAACGACTAGATGGATAAAAATCAATAATTCAAACGATAACATATTTTAAAATTGTTTGCCTACAAATTTATGGAAATAAAAACATATGTTGCCATTTGAAAACGTGAACTTAGACGCTTTTTATCGTATAAGGGATGAAAATAAAAGTTTTCAAAGCATTGAAAAATGTAGTAAAATTTATATCTAAAATAATAGGAAAATTTTTTTTTTCAAAATATTCATATTTTCCTTGAAAATGAGTGTCTTACGTTAGTTGGATCACCCTGTATATATATATATATATATATATACACATATATTTTTTTTATCTAGAACAATTTTAACGAGTAGAACGATATTTTTTTTTTCAATGTGTTCAGAAGTCTTTAACCAGAGGTCCAAATTCGGACTTCCACTAGATAATGTGTAAGATTTTATTTTGTACTTTGAAATTTTGTTGTATGAAATGCGCTAGTACATTATTTACCTTTAATTCCCAGATTTTGTGTATTATTCAATGCGTTAGACATAAAATACCTTAAATTTGTGTGCAAAACCACAGTCAGTTTTCATTGTTTTTAGTGTCTTATTTTTTTAGCTTCGTAGCGATGTAAATATCAAAGTAGTACACGTAAAGTATACAACATGAGTAGTAGCCCACAAAAAACAATTTTACAAATTTAGAATTTAGCACACAATAAAGCGTTGGAAAAAAAATTTTAAATCGGTATTCTTTTTGATTTAAAATATTATGTAGGATTAGTTATCGTACTCTGCATTGTTCTTATTTCAATGATATATTTTAAGTTAATCTAATACCATTGTGGTTGACCAGCCAGGATTTCCATAACTGGCTTTTTATGTAAAATATATACTAGACTGTTTTATTTAGTCACTCATCATTAGAACTCCGTTTAGGTTATGTTACCTCTAACACCAAATCTCTATATATAATAATTAATAACCATTAAGATGAATTATCTATTAGAAATATAAACAATGAACCTGTCACCCAAATTCGCACAGTAATTTAATAAAAGTAGAAATATAAGGTGTAAGGATTTAAAAGCAGTAATAGTTGGAATAGATTAGATGAAAAAATACAACTTTACTTATTCGGTAATTATTAATTTTATTGGTAGACATGATATGACACATAAATAGACATATGAAATTACTGTACAAAAAAATGTATTATAAGAAATATGTGATTGAAAAAATCCAAAGACGGTTGTTTTGCCGTCAGTTTAAATATATGTATAATTTCAGATTTTATAGTGTATATAGTGATAACAATAAGATAACTTATAATTTATTATGCAAAGAACAGAACACAGATGTCAGTGTTTTTCTAACATTAGGTTATTATGTGGGTGCAACTAGTGGTTGTCCACGTTCTAGCTGTCGCTCGAGTGATTCTTGTACATGGCCAATTCCGTATATTTCTGACCACGTGCCTTCGATTTTACTGTATTTCTTTTCGATATCGTGTACATTCTTTAAGATACATGTACCGGCAGTTGAATCAACGTTAACTTCTACTATGTATGAATTTGGAGATTGTGTACTCCAGTACAATCCAAGCAAACGACAGTTGGGTAACGACAAAACATCCTGCTCAGATCCTGATAAAAAATTTGAAAAAGTTCTTTTTTAATTTGCTAATATTAGCTTACTAGTTACTACACTTAACCTTATGGTACAGAAAACCATTATTTTATTTGTTAACACGAAGTCATAAGAAAATAACACAATAAGCATGGTGTCGTATTGAACAGCCATGATACTTGTATTAAATGAAAGTACGTGTTAGTAGTTATAATTTATTTAGTTAATTGTTAAAGTGTAAAATAAATTGTATCCTTGTTCCTATTAAATAACTTAAAAAAATATATATATAAAAATATATTAATAGCGTTTAAAAACCATACAACTCCATACAAATATTTACCTAATATACGACTTCTGATTAAACATTTTATAGACCAAGCAACAAATTCTCTCATCGTGTTTATAAGGCTTTCCAATGTACTCCCATCTATGACAATAATTATTAAAATACCGTGTTGCGGAGAAATAATTAAGATAAATAATATATTATTCACAAATTGTGATACAACCAACTTTTTGTACAACCACATATTATTGTTGAAACTCAACAAATGTACTTTTTCTTCACTTCACATCCCAAAAAATGTATTACACATTAACACTGTAGTATCACTTTCTCTCCCTCTCTCCTCAACAAAAAGTTGAATTTATTACAATTGTTTTCTGACATAAAAAATAAAATTAAGCAAAGATCAAATCTAAAACAAGCTTTTAAGGCTATTTATGAATATCGAACAAATCGTAATTACCATCAATTTCCAATCTATATGGTCCAATATCTGTAACAAAAACATCCAACACCAAATTATTATGCAGTTAATAAAACCCGGTTTATAAATATTATACATAAATATTTACTCTATAACTGAGGTTAATTATATCAATATTAATGCAATATTTGTTTGTATAAAATATGTAAATTTACACCTTATAACGATTTTTAAATAAACGGTTTAAATTTTATGTCGAATAATTCTTAAAAGCTTTTTTATTAAAACTAAAAAAATACGTAACTATTTTGTTTTTAAATTAAAAAATATATTATTTTTTATATTTACCTAATATACTCTCTAATTCGTCAACCATTATGGCCAAAAATTGATTGGCTTCTAAAATTTAAAACAAACTACATTTAATGTACATTTATTTTTAATGTACCCACATATATTTTATTATTGAAACCGATATATCATATTGGTATTTGTCAATAGGTACATATTATCATTCTCAAAGTAATTATAAATAATAAATATGTAATAAGTATAATACATGTTATATATCAAAAAAGGTTTTTACTTGGATATGGAGGAGCTGGATGCTCTGAAATTAAAACAAAAATCTTGTGTGCATAAAGAATATAAAACAACTGTTTGGAAACGCTTCCATAAAGTGCAATAAAAAATTATTACCCTGTACTCTCAGGAGAATTTCTCTATGGTCTGAAATTAACAACACAAAAATTAATGTTATTGCATTTACTTTTCTATTCTATTATAAACATGAAGATGAATTTCAAGGAAGAAAAAACATGTGCGCTAGTAATTTGGAAGAAGTATGCTTCACTGTATATTCAATACGATGAGAGTCTCTTTGGAGAATTCAGTAGGAATGAAATCTTTGAAATAATTTTATAAAATTTAACAAAATCTATTACCCGGTACAGCCATCAAAAAACAAATTTTGCCTGAAATTAACATTAAATAAATAAATGATATTGAATTGAATTTGCTATAATAAATTACTAGTTATTATATTATATATATTTATAAATTAAAAGACAAAGTAGAAAAAACTATATTATATAGACTTGTTGATGCAGTTTAGGCGATGAGAATAAAATATATTATTCGGACGAGGTTGATAGAGCTAACATCAGTATTTTTTCATAAAGCTTCTATTCAACGTTCGCTGAGAAATATAATAATTATAACACTAAACAGTTGCATAAAGTAAATAGGAGATGAAATTTTTATATTATTTTCAAACATTTTTTTCTACTCTTGTCTTGATGATTTTTATTATTATTAAAATTATGATTACAGAAATCTTTATTAGTCATTATTGACATCATCCACCATTATCTCAATAAGATACTCCAATGCATCTAGAATAAACAAATGAAGATTTGGGCTATACTAAAATATTAAAATTAAATCAAATTAGGCAAGACAAAGCTTCTATATATATTAATATATAATTTGAAATATAATATCTTACTTGCTCCAGGTCTACCTTCTACAGTTAAATCCTTAAGATAAGCTAGTTGGATGAGACCAGCTGTGATACATAATTTAAAAAAATTGTAGAAAAACAGTGGATTTTAAAAACATTTGCTTATTAAATATAAATGTTACTGACTTGTAAGGTAAACATAATTCAAGTAATCATCTGTAATAAAGTGAAATATTGATTTTTTTCAAATTTTAACTATCTTATGATGATAACTGTGAAAATAAAATAATTACCATGTTCATCTGCCAATACATTCACGAAGAAAATAGATATTAATAAACAGAAGATTTTCATTTTTATCTGCGAATAATAATGATTAAGAAAACATTTTATATTAGTCACAGTTACCTCCGGTTCAGAGATGAGAAGGTTATAGTTTTGTGAGGCCGTTTTAATATGATTAATATATACATATATATGTAAAAACATTTGTCTACTTGACCCACAATTTTTTCTGTACAGCTAACTGATTTGTTTGTATAGAAGATAGAAATCAAACTCGAAATGTTGATTATTTGGCCAAAATTACAGTAATTTCACAATACTGAGGATTGACAAAAATAAAAATAAGTCTGTGGAACCTGGGCCACTGAAATAGTAACGTACATATTGGATTACATTTTTGAACTAAGCTTAATTTGCTGAATATTTCGACTGGTCGATAACCAGTCGGAATGTTCAGCAAATGTTTCTTAATTTAAAAATTTAATAAAATACATACGTTACCATTTGAAATTCTTAAATTCATACGGTTTTAACATAAATGGAATGGGGTTATATTTTTCAAAAATATATTTAATTTGTCCCAACTAATAACTATAAAATTATTTAAAAAAAATAGAATTAAAAAAAGTCTAATATCTTCTAAGTTATTGACTGGTCCATAGTTAATAACTTATATCAATATTTTTCTTAAAAATTGAGTCAGAGAAAAAAATAAATAAATTGGACACGTATATGAATTTAGTTCCCTAAAAAATTAATTTTTTCATCTTTGTACTGTTCAAACTTTTTGAGTTATGATTGAAAATATAAATTGTTTTGCTGAATGTTTCTTCTTTGACTTGGTACGGAGGAAATATTTATTTTAATTTATTTTAATCTTGGTTGTGTATGCAGAGATCTACTTTTGTGGGGTATTATGAAAACAATTTTAAAAACTGAATTTTTTTTTAGTACACATTCTTTAGTACACTTCAAGCCAAATAACGAAAAAAACCAAAAACAATTATAGAATTCTCTCCAAAATGTAGATTGTGTAAAACGATAATTAAGAATGGATAAAAAAATAACTTGATATAAAAAATCCTTGTTACAGTTTTTTAACACTATATAATATTAAACATTTTAGAGTTCAATAGAAATACTTACTTAAATTGTGGAGTTGGTATGAGGTTGTTCGACAACAATCGACTTGTTCAGCTTTTGAAACTAAATGTACTGCTTGCGACTTGTGGTTGGGCTTATACTTCGACCAGAAAATCAGAATTCTAATAGGCTTTTGTAGTGTAACTATGTTCATTTATTAACACATCTGGTTCATTTTTTTTTTTTTTTTGTGATTTATCGTGTACATACGTTACTTGGAAAGCGGAGTTTAGACTATTTTATTGAGTTGTTAAACGATCTCGAATTAATTGATTTGACGGCTTTCGGTTTAGTTAATGGTTAGGACCACAAAACTGTGTAAAGTTAGAATTTTAATCAACCTCAGCAAGTTAACTACTGTAGCTACCTAACCCACCTTGGTTGTTATAATAATAAACATTTACAATTTAAAACATTATATTTGTCTACAAATTGTGAAAAACAACAATATATTGTCCTTCTTCTACGAGCCCTGACCCCACTTTGTTCCTTTATTTTTTAGTTTAAAATGTTCTTTAGTCGGAAATTGTTCAGACTTAAACACCAAAACAGTTCACGAAATTGAATTTATTTATTAAAAATCGGATTGGTAATCACCGGATAGACCGGATCACATAACTGTGTAAGGTTAGAAAGTTAGTACCTGTCTCGGAGGTGTAAAAAAAATACACACTTATCAAAAATAATATCCCAAATGAATCATTTCTTACGAGCAATAGATTAGTTAAGGGTTATGCTAATCAATTCATTGCGTTGGACGGTATAATCATGTTGGTTGTGTATTTAGCGGGTTTGTTTCCCTAGTACTATGTAGAAAATATTATTGGAACATTACCTACTTATTGCTTATTTATTTTAATAGTTTCTCGGTCGTTTTAATGTACAAATGTATTTGATGTAAATAATTAAAAACGTGTGCGAAGATACGCACTTATGCCAAAATACGTCTCTCTTACTTTTAGCTTTGTATAGATAAAATTGGCCTCATACACGAATTTTCTACTTTAAATACAAAATATTTTACGTTGCTAACCCAAAATAAACACTTGGTTTGTAACCATGGTAACCGCGGTACTCGAGCGAATGGTAGGTGATAAAAGGAACAGACCGATTCTATGTCTTGATAATATTTCTTGCAAATTTTTAAAAGAAACTGCATTCATTTTGTCTGCAATTATACATTTTTTGTTAAATAATATATTGTGTGTTTAACATACATTACGGATATTTGATCATAAAGTTTTAGCTATAACTGACACAGGTATTTGGCTATCAAAGTTAAATTTTATATCAAGTTTATCAATATACAATAATTCTCTCTTTGAAAAGTTGTAATTCTATTAATTTGTATTTAATGAATTCAGTAAATCAAGTAAATTATTTTTTTGAACTTGCCCAAGATAATTCTTATTGTTAATTTTATTTATTGAATTTTGATTTTGTTAGATTTGTTTAATTACCAACGATTGTTAAAAAAAAAAAAATCAGTATAATAGAAGTTGAACAATTTCAAATTCAAATGTATAGTCATTGTTTTTGTTTCATATTTTTGATTGAATATTCTCAAAATAGTAATATTAGTAATTTTTTAATTTATTGTTATACTAATAACAGTATTAGTTCAATACTTTTATTATCAGACAAAAAAGAATTATTGTTCTTTAAATGTTATACTATACTATCTATTCGTCGTTGAAATTTATCAATACAATTGTTTTACTATGTGTTATCAATATTTAAATTTTGTAAAGTACACACAACAA